ATGTTTCTAATAAGCTCCACGAGCAGAAACGTGCTCAAACTAGGATCAATATTGGAGATGCTTTTGAAAAATGGAGAGAGGTTAGAACACAGAAAGGTTTACAGACCCATGCAGAGCTGGATAAACACTGAAGCTTCAGAGTCCACCACATGGTGACCTGAGTGAGCATCCACTCTACAGAGGAGGGGGGGGAGACAGCTCTCTATGATGTTTAGAATTTGGACTGCAGTGCCCATTTTAAACACTAGGTGTCAGAGTTACATACTGCTCCTTTAACTGGTTTCTTGCAGCAGGTCGGTCAGTTCATGTACAGAGTCTGCCGCCTTTTCAAGAGACATCTGTACAGTTGTTTGGTCAGCACCAGTCTTTGATTGACAGCTTTAACAACAAATGGTATTCCTTCATTTTTAATAATTTTATGTTTTAATCAGTAAATAGTTTATGCTGCAGCCACATCATGGTGGTTCCTGTCAGCCTCAGTGTTTGGGAAGGTGCTCATCGCTCCCTGGTGTTCACAAAGATAACTAAAAACACATCAGTCCCTTTTATTTATAATGTTTTAAAATACACCTTAAAGTGTGCAAAACCTCATGAGTAATGGATCAGTAGAATCATGGTCCATACATTTACATCAGTCCTGGCTGTGGATGGAGAAACAGGATGGAAGCCTCCAAACATCAGACAGAAATGTGACACGCTTCGTCTTTGGATTAGACTTGTTAAGATGTCCTGTCTCTCCATTGGAGGCACGGGGAGCCCAAAAATCTATTTAAAAAAAAAAACATGTTTCTGATGTACAGAAAGTGGTCTGTAGATATATCTGGTGTAAACATAAACTACCGACTTATTGTCTCATGAAGGATCGTTACAGAGTAGAAGACTAAGATCCCTCTGCTCACCGCTGCGTTCAGGAACATTACCTTTAGCTGTAGAGGCCGGCATGTTTATCGCCTCTCCAGAGGAAGACAGAGTTTGGGTTGTTGTGTGTTGTTATGGTCGACTATTATTTTGGTCACCTAGCAACGGGCAACGTTGCTTTTTGGTTGTGTGTGCGCTCTCCCCTTTTGCTCTGCACCGTCCGCATCCTATCTGAAAGGCCCTTAAGGCCTCTGATTGGCTCATACATGGGGTCAGTCGGCCATTTTATCGAAACTAAACGAGAGGGGAGGGTTTGTGAACTACAGGAACCCAAGAGGAGCGGCGAAGTTATTTTTAAAATCTAAATTTCCACAAATACAATTTATCTGTAAAATGGATTTATCGCCCAGCCCTAGGTAAACATTAGGTGCACACAACAGGAAAACAATGAACAGTAAGCGGAGAGAAACATTGAAAACACGTTGAGTGAGCTCCAGAAGAGACTGAACTAAAGCAGCAGCAGAACAGTAAGTTTAAACTAACTCTGAAGTCTTCAGACCGGGTTCAGTCGTGGGCACGGAGCTGATTGGCCGGTGGTCAAATGTCAGAGCATCAGGTGATCCTCAGGCCAGCATCACACCACCTTCTATCAAACCAGGCCAGTGGACATCCTGTAAATGTGTGTGTGATCAGAAGCAGCACATTTCCTGTTCTGATTTCATATCCATTAATTCTCTGTTCTGCAGTTTTTCATCATTAGCGCGCGGGGGCAAAGCCACCCGGGCCGTTGTCTGCATATCATCTATTATTTCCCCCTCTAAAATTCCCTTCCTCCTGCATGAGCACGCTGGAAAACAAACAGACGCTCATTAGCATGTGTGACCCGTTGGTGGTAAACAGGCTTATTTCCACATGAGTGCAGTGCGAGAATGGATTCTCCACCGGGACCGTCGAGGTAGGTGGGCCCGCCGGCTGCCTTCATGGGGACTTTAATGGGGACTTAACAAATCCAAGTGGACAGGCACAACATTCTCTGGCACAGGGAGGTCATGTTGGTACAGTGTGCACTTGTTAGAGGGTGACTCACTGTATCTGGACTCTTGGGTGGCCACTGATATTCACTTCATTTTTAATGTGCATTTTTTCTCCCCCGGTGCTAATTGTTGGATTGTGACGGATGCCGAGTGCGGCCTGCCAGAGCTGAGGTAATGTGCAGCGCTCCAATAATGCCTCTGTGCTCTGTGAAGTGAAGTGATGAAAGCAGCCTGTAATTACAGGGATAATCAAAACTGTCAGGGGCTCCTCTATGGATGGTTCTGTTTACTGTCTGCTTCTCTCACAGCATGCTCCCCCCCTCCACTTCCTCAGCCTGGACCTCAGACCTCAGACCATCGTCGCAACTGTACCAGTCTGAGTGTCAAACAAAGTGAGCGTCTTAGGGCGCGGTCACACTGGCCAAATGTACCATGCTGTACTCAAGTACGATTGCCCCCCCTCGCTGTTAGCGGTCTATATTTACTACAACCTCCCGTGATTAAAAAAGGATGGCACAGAATCCAAATGTATTCATAAAGCACATTTAAAAAACACAGTTTGTAAAAACAGCAGGATGAAAAGCATTGAGACAAATAGGACGGGACTCTCACGCAGATCCAGGAGCCATAAAAATGTGTTTTAAGGTTAGATTTAAAAACAGGCGGTGTGAGGGACGGACCAACTTGTGGAGGCCAGAGCCTTGGGTCAACCTCGACCTCAGGACAGTCAGGAGCATCAGATCGTTTGGTCTGAGTGTCCGTGGTGAAGATGTGTTTTTCAAAGGTCAGAGAGATTAGAAGTGAGGCCCGACTGATTTGAGATGTTTGAGGCCGATACCAATATCAGGAGAAAGAGAAAAAAATCAGATATATCGGCCGAAATCTTTCTTTTTCTTTGTTCCTTTTTCAGAGAACATGAGTTATTCATTTCTGTCAGGACCTAAAGACAATTTCAAACAAAATCTTAAAAATTGGATCTGGAGAAAATAACCAACCGTGCCTTAAATTTTCTCCAACAAATGAGTTTTTTACTCTTTCTTGTTCAGATCAGAAGGCTGCAGTTCAGTGCTCCGACCGCAAGATGGCAGCATTTCGGCGCCTTTTTTTCTTCTAGAGGAAACTCGACGTTGTTGCTGCCAAACAAACATGTCTTCATATCAAATGATCAAAACGCATTAAAGGGGATTTTCCAAAATGTTCTGTGGTTATTTCCGTTAAAGTCCTTCACCCGTTTCAAATCTCTGAAGTGGTTTTTGATTTAGGAAACAATATTTTTAAACGATCTTTGTTTTTGTTTTTTTCATTGCAGACTGGTTGAGGATTTCAGATGAGCTATGCAATGTTCTCTTTTTGTAGTTTGTAGAAATGTAATATGAGTGTTTTAATATATCATAAGTACACAGAAATATATCCTATGATGTAAGATAACTGCTGTAATGTTATCTGGATATAAAACATATTAAGGATTAGTGTTGGCTGATTTAAATAGTACGTTATGTGATATTTGGCATTGATGACAGACCTGCAGCACTCTGCACAGACACACCTGTTGAGCGTGTAATCACAGGTGATGCAGACAGACACGATCTTTGTGTCGGAATCCCTCCGTTTGTTTTGAACGAGAGCAGCAAAAACAACCCTGATCCTGGATCAACATCCCGGCTTTCATTCAAACCGCGTCGTTAACGGAGTCGCTTCAGCGGTTTAGCAGAGAGGACTACAAAAAACACAGAGGTCTCACTCCGTCTGCTTACGCCGAACAAGCACATTTAAGTAAAAAACAGTGTTTTTGTTTTTGTATTGAAGTTAGCTCAACGAGGTTACACTTTATATCCAGTGGTGTAGTGCAGGGTATAAGCAGGTATACAGAGTAGCCTATATACACTTATTTATTCAGTCTCCATACATACATACATACATACATATGGTGTTTACCCACTTTTAAATCTCTTGTTATTCACATCATTGACTGATTGACAATAAGCAGTAGTTTGCTCCAATTTTATTCCTAGAATGGTGAAGGGATGATGACCTTCCAACTCTCTAATTGACTTATATGTACCATAGACTGTTAATATATATATTGTTATTTACAGTCTAAGGTATGTAGCCTATACTAAATGAATGTTAATGAGTTATTGTTACATGTCACTGTTTATAACAGTTTATCTTCTGCTTGACGGGTCACTCCCAACACATTTGGAGGGAAGAGTATACCCACTTCTTCAGCCACTGTTTACAGTTTCACAGGGAAAAGGCCATCTTCTACAATTTGATAATTCAAATTAATGGTAATTATACTTCGCAGTTAATTCTGTCAACGACACTGTTGACAAAAACAGACTTTCTTGTGATGAGTCCCAAACCTGTCACTATGGTAACTGCTGCCCCTATGGTGGCTGAACTGCAGTCAAAGCGACGCCCACTTCCACAGACTGGAGGCACCGAGTGATTCATCTTCACAAATAGAGACGATCTCTGCGCACGGCGCCGTGTTTATAGTCAGACTGCAGACTGAGCGGAGGAGACGGTGTGTGTACCTGCGTGTTTAGCGGACTAACGACGCTGCCCGGACACCTCTCTGTCGACGGAGGACGTTAGTTAACCGACTGTCTGGCCGTTAACGGAAGAATTAGAGGGAAATCCTCGGTTTCCCGCTGACATGAAGGTGAATTACAGCGACCACAACAACGCGGTGCGTGTGTGCGTGATGAGCGGCTGAGGAGGAGGAGGAGGAGGAGACGGAGGCTGCGGTCTGAAACCTGATTTTTATCCTGGATATTTCCAATGAAACGTCGTTGTAAACACACAAGGTGTCTGTGCTGATTTATCAAGTCGTACTGCGCCTCTTTCCATCCCGATTTAACGCGTTTTGAGGGGTTTTCTGCCTCCTGAGGATCCTCCAGCAGCAGCGGGACGTCGGACTGTTTTTCCTCCAGATATGGAGCGTGAAGATGCGGATTACAGAGGAATCCCCGCCGCTGCAACTTTAGCCGCATTGGTTTCAGCCTTCACGTCAGTGCGGTGCTGTTTTTGGCAAGAATAAATCAAACTATGAGTGCATATGTTCTGCCCAGAGGAATGAATCGGTGATTTCAGAGCACCACTGGACTCTCCCCCTGCTATCCTGCATGTAGCTGCTGTTAGCTGCATTAGCCGGCTAACAGCTACAAGGTGCTGGCTGCACATTAAAACCATTTTTTTCTGCAGGAATTCTGAGCAGTTTTTGCCCACGTTTCCTCCCCGTGGCTTATTTATCTGCAGGATTTGGGAGGATTTACTCATCCAGGAATGAGGTCTCGAGTGGAAAGGATCCGCTTGACCTTGTTTTGGGGTCTGATGCTGGGTCTGTCGTCCTGCCTCCGGCCCGCCACCGCAGAGAGTAAGTAACACTGCTGCTCCACACTGCTCCACACTGCTGCTCCACACTGCTGCTCCACACTGCTCCACACTGCTGCTCCACACTGCTCCACACTGCTGCTCCACACTGCTCCACACTGCTGCTCCACACTGCTCCTCCACCACACTGCTGCTCCACACTGCTGCTCCACACTGCTGCTCCACACTGCTCCACACTGCTGCTCCTCCACACTGCTGCTCCTCCACACTGCTGCTCCACACTGCTGCTCCACACTGCTCCTCCACCACACTGCTGCTCCACACTGCTGCTCCACACTGCTGCTCCACACTGCTCCACACTGCTGCTCCACACTGCTGCTCCACACTGCTGCTCCACACTGCTGCTCACACTGCTGCTCCCCACTGCTCCACACTGCTGCTCCACACTGCTCCACACTGCTGCTCCACACTGCTGCTCCACACTGCTCCACACTGCTCCACACTGCTGCTCCACACTGCTGCACACTGCTCCACACTGCTGCTCCACACTGCTCCACACTGCTCCACACTGCTCCTCCACACTGCTGCACACTGCTCCACACTGCTGCTCCACACTGCTCCACACTGCTCCACACTGCTCCACACTGCTCCTCCACACTGCTCCTCCACACTGCTGCTCCACACTGCTGCTCCACACTGCTCCACACTGCTGCTCCACACTGCTCCACACTGCTCCACACTGCTCCACACTGCTGCTCCACACTGCTCCTCCACACTGCTGCTCCACACTGCTCCACACTGCTCCACACTGCTGCTCCACACTGCTGCTCCTCACTGTGCACACAACATACAAGTGTGAAAACAGAAACAGCTTCTGCTCAAGGTAATATCTTGTTTTTGCTTATCATCACTTATCATCTGACTTAAGCGCAAAATATTGTATCTTCGACTTGTTCCCTCAGATTATAATGTCAGCGCACATGTTAGTGGATAACTGGTGTTCACTGGATAATATCTTGTTTTCACACAAAATGATCTTGTGTGCACAAGATAATTAACTTCTCCACATTAAATGTAATAATAAATCACATTCTGGGACTTCAGGGCTCGGTACACTTCTGATGTTTTGAAGAATAGATTTGGTAGAGCACAACATTAGTGAGTCATATTATATATATCACAACATGTGTAGGGAATGTTTGTGTTCCTGAAACCACTCGTAATAATTTGATGCATGCGCGTCGTGGTTAACTGCAGCTGTGGATGAAAGTGGGAACGACCGAAACAGAAGAGTCCTTTAGATCGTGCTGCTGATAAAAACTTGAGCGTGACTCAGAGAGTGGAGAAAGTCTGAGTAAGAGAGACTTAAATCCAAACCTATAATATTCCACTTTGTTTAACTGTGAGTCACAACGTGGTGAATATTAGAATCAACAAAGAGTGGAAGGTCTCCGAGGTCCCAACAGGAAGAAGACCACAAACAGAGACAGGATGTGAGGAATTAAAGGGAGGCTTTTATTTTGTAGAGAGATGAAGTGAGAAATAAAAACAAACCTGGAGAGTGACATCACACATGAAATCTCTGAGGTCTGCTCCTGATCTGGTTGTTCACACATGCACCTCACAGCGGGGGGGGGGGGGTCACTTACGGACTTTTCTGCAAAGTGTGAAAGACGTAATAAATAACTCTCCTCGTCTTTGTTGACATCATACTTCTTCACTCGAGCAGCCTTGATACATTTTTTCGGTTGTGTTGTTTGTGTCTGAGTTTTGATAACTCACCCGTCATGTTGACAGGCGTTGAAATGTAAAGGTCTGAAGGGGCCGCTGTGTTGACCTATTTCGGTACGTAGCAGTTAATCTGGTTTATCAAACAAACCTGGGGGGGAAATGTTTTCAGATGTCTAAAGTTTCAGCTGATCAGACACACAAACATCCTGTCAACAGCCAAACGAGGGGAAACCACACGTGTCAGATTGTAATCTAATAATAATCTATTAAAGTGAACTTTTGAGACCGGTGTTCGGCCCCGCACCGACGCTTCAGTCAGAATCAGAATCAGAATCTGGGTTTATTACCAAGTACATTTACACATAAAGGAATCTGACTTGATGTATTGGTGCTAAACAATTAACAAGGAAATAAAACAGAACTAACAACAACTTAAATAATACAGAATAAGAAGATATTACAATATATAAAATAGAATTTAAAAAATAAAAAACACAAAATGTACAAAAGGTGTAATGTACAGTATGTTATTCTTCTTTTCTCTAGTCCCTCAATTAAACAACTTTTATACGTGAGGGGAGGAGTCAGCTGGCTGTCCTGGCGATGTAAACAAAGTGAAGATAGGACTCTGAAAACTCTGAAAACATCACAGACAGTGGGACTCGGGTGTTACACCCATTGTAGACAGTCATGACTCACAGAGTTATTTTCAGAGGAGATACTTGATTTCTACATTTAAGGGTGAAAAATCACAGATAAAGACTTTAATGTAACGCATTAACCAAGAAAGTCTAAGAACGAGAGTCCGAGTGACGAGCTTCAACCTCCGTCGGCTCGTAAACTTTCAGATTGAATGAATTTGAGTTTCTTTATTTATTCAGAATTTCTTCTTATGTGCTGCCACATGAAATCTTTCCATGTCTCTCCAGCTGCCCCGTAAACCAGGCTTCCTGATTCATCCCATTCATGGTGACACGTTGGGGAGGGGGGTGTGTTGGGGGGGCTTGAACCAAGGGTCTGGGGTTTTAAAAATAGACCAAGCCAAAGTACATTTGCAAAGCAAAACAGAGTGAGTCCTGTTGATTGGAAAGAGTGAGGAGCTTGTGGACTGTGTGTCATGGGGTTTACTGTTCCCCCCCAGTGGTCACAGGACAAACCTGCGAGGCCGAGACCTTCTCCCATCCAGGTCCTGCGTTTATTCTCACTGCGCTGCGGGGGCTGGTGTGAGGGCGCCTTGTGTGGCTGAACTCCCAGCATTCCTGCTGGTTTTACTGGATCCAGTAGCTGGGGACTAAAGGGGTCGCTGGTAGGTTTTGGGTTAACCCGGTTTGGCTCTCTCAGGTGAACCAAAACAAGTTTTTATCTGTCAGGAATGATCTTCCTCGACACATTTCTTTTTCTCCCCTCACCTCGCCTCGTCTCGTGAGGAAAGTATTTATGAATGCGTCCGTCCGTCCCCCCCCCCCTCCCCCCGGGCGCTCCGTCACTAACAGGATGGAAACGAGGAGTAAACACACTCGCTGCAGTGTGTGAAGCACCGGCTCAGAGGGCATATTGCTTCCTATTTCTGGTCTTATGGGAGCTTCTCGTGGATTTCCTCTGATTGTCTGTGGACGGTCTGGGTGCTGCAGCCAGCTGGAGAAAAGGTTATCAGCAGTAAATATGTGATGTGGAGGCTCATCAAAGCAGCACAGAGAGGCCTGTGTACTCAGCTGTTCAAAATGTGTCAGTCGGAGGGGGGGGGGGGGGCGTCTACACCTGCTGTTTGTAGTTTCACTTCCAACAGAAGAAGAACGTTTTGAGCTCTAAATGTTGTTTAGTGTGTTCAGGAGCATGAGGGCGGTCAGGAGCAGTTCCCATGAAACACGGCCATGCTGGCGTTGCAGCGAGGCCGCGGAGGGTGAAGAAGCGCCGAGGCCGTGGTGGTGATGTAAACGTCACACTTTTATACAGGCCCAGGTGTTGGGATTGTTTTTACAGGTATTCAGCTGACAGAGTGCACTGACAAGAAGATTACAGAGGAAGACAGAACCACACACTGCCCACCCTCAACCACACTGTTTGAATAGAGCGCAACAAAGACCCTCAC